ACACTGCAGAGCCTTAATCAGTTACAAAAAAAAAAAAAAAAATCAGAAAGAAACAAAGCTACGAGCTCAGGTGTCTTGCAGAGCCATTTCAAAAGTACCTGGATGCAATAAGGACTGAAAATTAAATTTCAATTCCTGTTCAACTCCCTGCTGCGAGCAGCTAGGCTTCACAAACTTCCTATTTTCTCTACATTACCTTGAGATAAGAGCTACAGATCCTGTATTTGATAGAGGCCCTACAAGACAGAAGTGCCAGAACAACTCAAGCTGCAAAAGACATGCTGCAGACAAAACCCCACCAGTAACCCCTGCTGGCACACCAATTGATGGGCTTGTTCTCTACTGAGGGCTAAGCCTAAACCCAGGTTAGAGTACAATGCAGAACATATACATATCACTGTAGCAGCTTTACAACAAATTTACTCCAAAAATACATAGCATATGACAGTGAATGTTTCTGGAAAAACATCAATAATCAGAGTTCATTTACTTTGTTTTTCACTTGCTTATATATTTGTAAGTCCTATGCATATTTTAGTTCATAAAATGTCATATGGACACTTGATCCTATTTAAATATTAGTCAATATTAACTATTAAATATTAAGAATTATTCTTAATTRAAATAAGGACTTAATTTAAAATTGATTTGCTTCTTAAACTTCTAAACCATTTGCAAATTCATAGGCAAACATTCAAAACTGATAAAATATCATTTTTTTATTCATAGAGAATTATCTACAAGGAGTTTGATAAGCGGATTATATTGGATAAACAAGGTATAAATCAAAATTTAACATGATAACACTTTCTACTCTATGTCAATCCCCCCTTTCAGCTTTTCCCAAATCTCTTTTCTCGCCACGAACGTGTTTCAACCTTATCAGAAAAACCCAACAGATTTATGTATCATTCTGAGGGTTAAGAAAATGTCTCAAAAAACAGAAGATAAAATCCTGATGTCCTCACCAGTTTTCAATATGCATTCAAGCGTACAAGGCTACACTTTAGTAACATCTTTCTCATATTTTATAATTCCAACAGCCCATTTAAATCCCACTAAAAGATTTGCCATATTGACACATATTAAACAAATCAATTGCAATTAACTTATAAAATATTTACAATCTGATCACTGTTGTGCAGACAAAACTTAAAAGCAATATAAGTACAATAGCCAGTATGTACAGAAGGGGATATGATGAAGGCTCTGAAGGATGAAACAGGATTTGCAGTACAGCTTTCCAACAGGAAACAAGTGTGCAAAACAATCTGAAGAACAGTGCAGTGATCTAACACTTCATTCTGAACCAAACTTGTTCATCAGAACTTGATCTTTATTATCTCCTGCTCTCTATATCCAGATGGCACATACCCATTGATCTGGCATACAGCAGAATGCTGCACAAAACACAGCGTCCTTGAGTCGGGAAAATAAGAGTTAGAAAGATAAGCTTTCTAATATAACAGTACTACAGTATTTTAAAAATACMGGCTCAAATTCTATGGAACTACACAGGATTTAAAGGTAATTTCTTTGGTAATCTTCTAATTTCCAACATTATTTCTGGAAATGCATGATGTGCTGCTTCTGAAAGTACTGAAGAAGTGTCAAAAAATCAAATATGATGAAAACACATGATACATTTAGCAGAGYGGATTCATCAATGGAACCAGCCTACTACAGATCTTTCAAAAATTTAYTCTCTAGAAGAAATCTTAATACACAGTTACTTGAAACCCATATTGATAAAAGCTTAACTAAAGGAGGAGCACACCCTCATAAGGAACAGCCAGAGGAAGAGAGGGAAGAGAGGCAGTTTTGTCTCATTTTTAAAATAGGATTAAAAGCAACCAAACAACAAATCTCCAATATAGTGCAAATTACAGCTTTTGAAATTAAAATGACCTCACACAGCCAGAAAAGTGTAGTACTGCTGAAATTTGACAGCTATAAGCTGGAAGAAGAAATGCTGGAATATGTACAGCTCAAATCTTCATAATAAAACAATCACCTTTAATATAGTAAAGCCTGTCTGAGAAGACACAGATTACAATTACACAAACTTAGGGAGAAGAGATTGCACTTTGTTCTTGTCATGTTAGAAGGTACAGTCATATTTGTTTAGGAATAACAATAAAACAGCTGATACCAGTGCATTGCTAMCAGCATACACTATCATGTCACCAATTACAAAAGACAAAAAATAGACTAAAGAAACAGAAAAGCTCACCACTTCTTCATGCCTGCATTTTCTCACATTAATTCCATTAATCTGTTATTAAAAAGATAAAGAGAAGACTTACTCTACATTTCATAAGCATAGATTTCATTTCACTTTTCTAGAAAAATACASAGAAGATAATTTGCAATTTCACTCACCTGTAGAATTGCATCTCCTATAAAGAGCAAACCTGAAAGTTCCGCTGAAAACAGAAAGCATATTTTTCACTCACTCTGTACAAAAAATCCAACATTTTTGTGTACATGAATTCTTATTTAATGATTTTACATAATATTTTAAAATTTTAAACAAAAACCTGATAAAACCCCCATGTTAAAACTCTCACATACATTATTAGTACTTTAATTTTTAAACCCAAAATATTGGTGTATCAGTGTTACAATAAACAAGGTTATTCGGCCCAAGTACAAGATTATGAAACTTCATCCATCAGTCACTAGTACCTTTCAGGCCATTCTGGTGAGGTGTGGAATGTTTTTCTGAATAGAAAATGACTGCAGGACTAGAYCTTATTTGCCTATGAGATCATTTCTTACAAAGAGAAAAAAGTAACATAGAGACTTCAAAGCTACTTATAAATGACAAATTTAACTTTTAAGCTTTTACTGAAGATAAAAGACCCTTTAGATCATACATCTTTGATAAACTCTGATTAATAACAGGGACTATTAATGCTGGATAACACTTATATATGCTGAAGAGCTAGAAAATCACTATGTTGTAAAAAAATCACCAGYGAAACTGAATTGGATTTTCAAAACAAAGACATTTACATCACATCACATTTAAAAAAATCTAATCTAATTTTACGCTCCTAATTTTTAAATGTTATGTTCTGTTCCAGAGCTATCGGATGTAAATACACCCTATAAGCATACCAGAAATGCAAAAAAAAAAAAGATTACTTAAGGGTCTATAAAGATGCTAATACCCCCCAAAATGAGAACTAAGGAATGTTAACAGATCACATGCAATTGTTACCTATAGTATTCCTTTATCATCACAGAAGGTACTGTCTRGAAAAGGCTGGTATTAGACTAGACCCATAAATTTTATTTAATTACATCAGCTGTAAAACTGGAATAAATATTGAAATAAATTATGCTACAAGGTCCATGTTTGAAGGAATRATCCTATTAGCTACATTTAAGAATGAATGTTTAAATTATTGCAGGACAGACATTCTGATATATTTTGAGGTATAGGCATTGGATCAAAAAGGATTTTCTGTATCAAAGTTCCCTAGTCCAGGCAGATGGCGTGACACTTTCTACATCTCAAGACAGCAGTCCCCAACATAAGAGATGTCCCTCAAAACTAGCTCTCTAAAAATCAGCAGTATTTTTATTGAAAGCATTAATGAAGATTGTATCACAGCTAGGTGTTGGGGCTAAAAGCAATGCAACAGCTTCTGCAGCAAAAAAAGAAAAAAAAAAAAAAAACTAAAATAAAAATGAACTGCAGTGTGGTCAAATAAACTTAAGTATATTTTTCTTACTTTTCCTGCAGTGCTTAATAGCATTTTAATACCTATTGCATGTAATATATGCCACATTTTAATGTATTATTTAGTTATATGTATACTGAAAAGAATGTAGTCACAAATATAATTTCTTAAGGTTAACCTTATTGTCTTCCTTAGGGGCTCATTCCATGCTACTCCTTAGCCTCCCTACATCCAACTTTCACATCTGCCTTTCAAGGGTTAGCTCTCAGCTCTTAATATGCTGATTCTTACCTCTCTATATCTGTGTGGGTGAATATGAGACTTTTTTTTTTTTATGCTGGCACATTTTAGTTGTGAGTTTTAGAATTATTGAATTACAGACGGAGGGAAATGTTTCCAAGTTTACATTTTCTGCCTTACATAAATGTGTATAACACAAACATAAYAAAGATATTAAGTATACCATATAAGTACCGATTCACAAACTTCCTCTCTCCTAATTGTGCACATCTTGAGGTGTTTAACTATTATCCATGTATCATTTCAGAGCATTGCCAGTTAAAAACAATATCAAGATTCAGCACCAGCTCTGTTTTTATTAAAAATAAGTATGGTCAAGATTTTACGCAATACCAGTTTTGCTGCATATGGGCTGCTGCAAAGGTGTACACAGCTCAGCATTTCATGCTAAAAAGCCATCAGGGTATTATCAGGGTTCTGCCATTTGCCACCCCTGTCTCAATACTACCTGACTAACTAGGTTAAGAAGAAATGCATTCTCCTGCTGTGTTTCCGTGATTTAAGAGCCATTTGATCATCTACAGCTTCCAGAAAATAACTGCTGGGAAGTGGAAGCCACTAATCATTGTYTTTTTTTTTTTTTTTAATTTGTTAAACGTTTTCATTCTTTAAATACCTTTCTATTTCTCACCTTAAAAAGAATGCTTTACAAGAAACTATATCGAGTATCAGTTCTGCACTTTTTCAGAGAAAGCTTCTGATGAAGAGAGAGGTCATTAAATCACAGGAGAAAAAGTGTTTGCTTAACACTGACTAAAGAATCTCAAGATTTAATACATCTTTCTTTAWAGGGAACATCAAAGCACAGTGTACAAGCTGACACCTGATACGCACCTCTTTGTTCTTTGGAAATCTTAGAAATGACCACTGGAATATTATGTTCTGCTCCACCCTGAAAACAGAATAAATTACAATATTGTCAGTCACTAAAAATTTAAAAAAAAATAAAATTATATTTTGCACTTTCTCTAAGTGCAATTTTTAGAGAGACTGAGAAAATAACTGAATCTGCAATTCCTCTTTTTTAATGAATATTTGATTGTGATTAATTCCCTATTGTCTCTCATAAAGAAGTCYTCAGCTGCCATCATTAGCTCAAGAAGTGAATTAAGAACTCTACCAGAGTTGAAGAAAATGGACACCAGTTTCTGTGAATTCTGGAGAGCTTAATGTATGAAATGTGTCCTGTAAAAGCAGAACAGCCATCCAACTACAATGGCAACCACACTGTGACCACTTCGTTTTCACACTGGCAAAAAGGAGGTAAACAAAAGCACAAGAAAGAAGGTTTGAACTTTTCATTTCAAAAGCAGCCTTTATTTGTTTCTGGCTGTCACACAGGCACAAAGAGTGAGGAAAGCAGTGGCATAAGTAACAAGGAACAGAAAAAGAAACGTTAAGAAATGGAACAGTAGGTTTTCAATAAATGGGGAGAAATAAAGGAAAACCGGATGCAAGTTTCAACAGTTCGACAACAATTCAATGCTGTTGCTTCATTCAATTTATCGTGTTGGGACTGGAAACATTTATGGTGCTTAAGAATAAAGTAATAAAAATAAATCTTAAATGAAAAGGAAATTCAAAGGAAGGTACAGGCAAATATACAGAGACACACAAATAATTTTTCCTCTGTGTGGATCATCAGAGTGAAAGCTCAAATGCAATCTCTACAAATTCAGGTCACCAGAAACCACTGCCTGCCACACTGCTGTTTTGTGTAGGAGTCCTGGCTAACAGTTTGCATACTCTTTAGCAGACAGATTTTATTTTGAAAACTATGGCTATTTTAGGCCCAGTGTCAAGGTGTGAAAAGGACTGACACAGGTATTTTGATGGCCTAAGGAACAGCATACATCCCTCCTTCATGCAATAACCAAGTGCCTGAAACTGAACAGACTCCTGTAGTCAACACTTCTTTCTGTCATGGAATAAAGATTAATTTCCAGTGAAACCGCAGAATGTTAAATAGGATAAATGTTCCTTCTGCTAATGGCTATCAATGCAAATGGTCCTAAAAACACTGAATTAATTGGGAGCTCAGTAATGTTACAACAATTATTTGTCTACAGAAGAAGTTCTACTGGCACTGAATGAGATGAGAGGTGACAAGAATGGAACATATTGGTATTTGTATCAGAGACTGAATGCTGGCTCCAAAAAGACCAGAGGCTACCATCATTTCTATTAGGCTGAGAGATGCATTCAGACTAATTAAATTGTAGCATTATGGCTTATTGAATATCTTTCAGTAGTTTTCACCAGAGGAACAGCAACAGTAATAGTTCGCTTTACTGCAGATAATGAATTCAAGCTCACTAAATGTGTAAGTTTTAACCTACACCCTCCAAATTTTCTAGTCACATGCAAATTTAATTTCTTCCAAACTTTTCAAACCAACAGAAAAAATAGCTGTATCTTTTTCTTTCTGAGATTCCAAAGTTGTACACACATTGCACTATCCAGGATATTTAAAGCCCAGTAAAGAAGTGTAAGGTGTAAAATGGCATTCCTGCCTCCTTAGACTCAGGGCTCCATTAAAGCAGGAAATTACTGTTATTACTAAGCCAGCCTGCAATGCACACAACATGATTATTCCTCTCTCATTGTATTGAATCTACCTAAATCCATTTACACTGCAGATTTGAAGAAGCTTTCAGTAAAGTCCTACTGAGGRAATAATCTCCTCTCACTGCATCTGAGTCTGACCTGTATGAAAGCTTCTTTTAAAATTAGTAATAGCATGTAGTGCCTGCTACTCTAAGAAACAAAAAAATCAAAAAGGAAAACAGAAAATAGTTGATCACATATCTATATCCAGTCCCTGTTAGCAATTTTGTAGCAAAATGTATATACCCTGCCAACATCTTGTTGAATACTACTTCAGATTGACATTGCAGCCTTTCATCCTGAATTCTCCATACTTGATTCTCTGTCCTGTAGAGGAAAAAGTGCACGCTTGTCTAAAATTTGGGTTTACAGTCTCATGGGATACTCTTCTGAAGAAATTTCTGGGAACAGAGGKAACTTTTTCCACTGCTTTAATTTTCTCTCCCTCTATTATGGACATATAGTCATAACCTCAGATCAGAGGATGGACAAAAATATATCAAGCAGTGGTGTTGAAGACTAACTGGCTCAGACCTCTACCAGAGTCTAACATTGATCTTTGTCAAGCAAATTTTCTTTGTCATTTTTCCTTAAGCAGGGAAGGATAAGCCTGGAATAATGGCAGCTGCCCACCTGCAGAGGTGGTCCTGYTAGAAGAGGCAGAGGAAGCTCTAATCACCTGCAGTTGTTTGAAGGTCGCTGTCCTGGATGTTGGCCACTACTGGTGAGAGGTCGCCCACACCTCCTTTCAAAGTGTCACATGAGACACTCCTAAAGATATTTTCTTATCCCAGTTTTTACGAGTGAAGGTATTTTTCAGAAGTTTTTGACATATGAAAAATAGGGCAACTGAAAGCAGTAACTTTTATTGACAAAGGTTGGGACATTTTGGCTCTACGTCTAACAAGGAAATTAATTCCTTATTTTCTAAAAAAAAAGAGTTTATAAAAGATCAGACCAATATTGGGTTTTACCATCATCAGAGTTAGACAATGTAGGAAGCTTTCTGACTTCATACTAAAAGGCAGCATTTCCACCAGAGAAAATAGCTTTAAGGTCTGTGGCTACTAAATTTTTTGACTGAGTCAAATTGAGAAGCCAGACTGAATCTCAGAAGATCTGTGACRTTGTTCACCCTTTTRAAAGAACRATCRAAACAGAGGCAGGAAAATGGCAGTRTACAGAGTCCTGGTAGCCAGGAGTCAGACTGTAACCACAAACCTCAATTTGTTTAATGAACTACCAGTTTTGTTGCCTATTTCTTCAGGAACACTGCACTCCAATTATTGAAAAMCAAGATATTCTTTCAGAAATCATACACTTATCAGCATCTTTTTGTCAAAACTCTGCATCTCAAACTTGTCAGAGATGTGATAAATGACTGAAATACTACACTACACTTAGCAAATTCTACATCTATGTCCACGGCTACTCTTTCACACACAAACATTTAACAGAAATCTCTCAGAAAAGAGATGATAATTCCTTCAGAAAAGTGTAAACCAGAGCAGGTCTACATCAAACTAAATCACAGATTCACCACTAACTTCAGTTAGCACATGCAGTAAAACACAAGATTTTCAAATCTTAAAAGAGTGGACTATAATCTATTTTTAAAGGGCTGAAGTTTAGGTCTTGGACAAAAGTCAATCTTACAAGCAGGTTTTTAAGCAGTTAACTGAATCTCTAATTGCTACAAATATAGTTTGAACACTCATAAGAGAAAAGAAGACAGTTTCCCTCATAAATAAGTTTTAAAAATTTAAAATTTAATTTTGGAATTATTAACAATTTGTCCTCTGCTCCTCAAAAAAAAAAAAAAAAAAATCCAAAAGGTCCAAAATACTTGCAGTGTGATAAGACATTTTCAAGATTTACTCAAGAGAAAGTTAAAAGGTGACTTTATCATATGAGATTTCTGACAGTAAATGGGTGTTTTAAGTTAGCAGGAAAAAAAGACACAATAATGCCCCAGACCTGATTGCCAGAACTAGACAAATYCATAACAAAGCACAAGCAAGTACTCTAAAAGTGAGGGTCATTAATCACTATGCTTCTGTAATTAACACCTCAGATAAACTGYATCCTCTGACATACACCACAGCCAGAAAGCAAGTCCTCAAATAACCTCATCTTTAATTAGTCTGAGAGAAGGAAGGCAACAGAAACTGCTGTAGTTCGTGGGGCTGTGGAAGTTACTGACACTACCTCAGTCCTTCTCACTCCTTCAGGGTGACTTGTAGACTTCTACTTTCTGGCACAATTTAAAAATAATGACATTGCTGTTTAATACTAATAACAAATAAAAGTTCTTTAGTAAAGTTCAGTRATCTTATAAAACAAAACAAAACACCAAATCAACAAATTTTTATTCACCTGCAAGAAGAAGCATACCATGACTGAATGACACATTTTAAACAGAAAACTGGCATTTTTCAGAGTATTTGGAACTGACATGTCACTTCATGCCATAAATAAAAAGTCCATTTCAGCRAGTCTTCATAAACTAAACTAAAAAAGGAAAATTACTATAAATTCCAGTTCTATGTTGTTTCTTACTAGTAGCTTAAAATTGTAATAGTAGATTATATTGATTTTTTTTAGACTGTGTTGGCTATCCAATTGTTTGTCTTTCTTTGTGAGAATGTAGAATTACTAATAAAGGGATTTAGCAAAAAAAGTCCTACATACATTTACTTGTATAAAAATTAAGTTATTTAAAAGTAATAATTTATACTACCTGATACACACTGACAGAACATCCTGGACCATAGAATTCACCTTGTMATTTCCATTATCTAATCTATGCCATCCAAGCAAGTTTGAGTTTCATTTTTTAAAGAGATCTCTTTTCTCTCTAATGCCATTTTTAAGGGATTTCATCACCTGATTGCTAGTTATTTAAAAATAAAATTTTCTATTCAAACCTGACTTTATGTATCTTCGCCTTTCCATTACTTATGGAATATGGTTAAWTTTGATCAAAATATCTATGAAATAAAATAATCCTAGAAAATTGATATCTTACTCTAAAAATTTAAKAATATATTGCTCTACTAATTAAGGAAAGATCATTGCATATTCACTATTTATATTTCTCAATGATATTTTACGCAATGCACATAATACTTAAATAATGGGATCTTGAGATTGTCAGCAATGTTAATACTAAGTGATAACCCATTGTAAAGTATATGTAAAAATCAAGTTTATTGACCAGAGATTTTGGCTCCAATCATCTAAAGTCCTTACTGCAACCAGCTATTTCTTAGCACCATCTGAATCAAATCTCATTTACCCAAATACTTGATTTTACATTATTATATTTGCATTATTTCATCATTACTCAGTGAGCTGTAAACTATAATGTAATGGTACTGGAGGAAAAAAAACTTGAGTGTTGTTGACCAAACCAATGAGAAGTTTTGGTGACAAAATAGCAATCATTTTTCCTCRAATAGAGGCCSTCATGGGTCAACAAGATAACAGCAAGCACACCAAGACACTTTTAAAAATTAATATTTAAATTCAGCAATATTCTTATCAATGACAACACAAATGCACAGTAATCCTTCTTATGAGTCACTTATAAAGTCAGTTCAAGCAGATGTTCACAGAAAAATCTATACTTTCACTTTATATGCATAATTTAGGCCTCTGCATTCATGGGAAGTACACTTCATTTTTTCCATTGCTGTCTCGTGACTTAGAACTGCTGTGTTTAGAAGATCAAATTAATATTGTGTTGTCTACACTCAGATTCAATGCTAAGGTAAATCATAGATTACAATCATAAAAATTATTAACCCTTCCCTCACCTAAAAAGGATCACCTATAYTTGTACATGTCCTTAAATCTTACTGAAGAGGGTAAAAACAAGGTAACATGATAAATTGCTGTCTGTGCTTGATCTACAGAAAAATAAACAGTAAGAGCAAGCAATAACACCTTTTGTGCCAGTAATAAATTGCAGTGAATTAATGTGATATTCTTTGTAGGAGAATTGATGATGARCTTATTAGCCATTGCATGTACCTGCCACTGCAATTTAGCATTCATTAATAACTATTTAAATTAGAGAGCAGTTGAACACAAGTACAGTCTATACAGTGCAGTGGCAAGTACTTTACAACTCTTATATCAGACCTTATTACAGAGTTGGTCATCTTGAATCTTAAGGGAATGATTGCCTTCCGTTCCATAGGGCAGCATGGTTCTGGTTGCCTGCTGTATCTAACATACAAAAATACATTTTCTCTCTTGTTTCCAGTCCTCTAAAATAGCGTTTGCACTCACTAACTGTAACACATTGACTRTAGACAGACACACTTTGTATAATATGCAATAATAGACAAAAAAAATTATCTTACCTTTATACTTAATCCAAATCCTCCTACAGTCTGTCTTCTAATTGTTACTGTTCTTTCCTGGAAAAAAAAATAAATCAAGTTTTGCTAGATTTAATRTCTTCTGCCAGAACAACTATATTCATACTTCAATAAGTTTTTCTGTGCTTCCATCCTACATTGATTTTTCTTGCTTTAATAAAGTTCTGAGCTTCTGAACTGAAAATCCCATGAAACCTATGCTGCAGAGGAAAAAGACAAAATCTGGAAGAAAAGCAGAGATCCTGTCTCAAACAACAACAAAAAAATAATTTGTTCAATTCACACCATCCTAGCAAGCATGGCAATGCACGAGGAACAGAACTGGGGATTTATACAGTTAGGGAACAACACACACATTTCTGAGGTTAAGGCTTTGRGCAGTCCTAAATTGGTCCCATATGCAGGTTGATCACTCCATGCTGAAGTAGCTGCACTGCACTCCTGTAGTGCATTTTCCAAATTAGTTTCATCTGAAAGGAATACAACTTGTTCCTGCCAAGACCACTCATTGATGTGAACCAAAGCATAACAAGCACACAAGTCACATAAATTCATTTCAAAGCACAGTAATGATCCAAATTAAAAAAAAGAGAACCAAACAAAAATGACCAAAAACTAATACAAAGAYAGCCACTGTTGATCTCACAGCTATGGTTTACAAATTGTAACCCATAATTTACAATTATTAAAAACTACCCAGCTTTTTCCTTTTATTGTTTATCCTATATTTTGTGCTGTAAAAAAAACTGTAGGCTACTATCTGTCTCATATAAACAGTTACAAAAAAACCCTTTTTTTTTTTTCTAGTCTGTCTATTGACTTTTCACCCAAAGATAACTTAGAATTGGTATATTTAGGTAGTGGTAAAGTAACTTATTAGCAGATATACCATATATCCAGACCAAATATATATWTTTTATAGATTTCTGAATGTCCTCTACATGTGATCTAGATTTCATACTCATTTAATTACCTATCCATTGCATAGCTAAGTCTGCATGTACATTTTAACAATATATGTCATATTTAACTGTACTTAATTCAGGACAATCAGCATAGATTGCCAGTGTCAGTCAAATTTGAATAAATCATCAGGAATGTATCAGTGACAGAGAGGACAAAATATATACCAATGTATTTTTTTCTTCGTTACTTCATTTACAGAAAGGAAAAGAAAGGAACTAACACATAAAACTTTTGGAAAACTGTTATTGCTGAATTTTGACTAAGTCTTACCACTTATTTATTTATTTAGGCTAATGTCTGCAAATGTAAAATGCTTCCATAGTTTATTCTAAGAAAAAGGTATATATTTTGTTGTTAAACAGCCAAATATTTCAATTTTTATATTTAACATAAACTTCTAAAAAAGGCATTTTCATAATGCAGTTCCCACAGACTGGGTTCAGGCCACAAACTGTACTTAGAAAACCTTCTGTCTGCCACAGTTTCAGATGCAGGTAATGGTKCTGACAATATATTCAGGATAAACCAATATAGGCCACAGTCTGATGTGTGGTCTAAGCCGAGCTYACATAAATGAACACAAAACACTCAGTTGTGGCTCCACTGGGAGCCGTATTTTTCACGTTAACTTCATCCTGTTTCCACTTCCATCTTCTGTTGAAAACAGAGTGAAGAACAGAAACTTGACTTGTATAGTCTCATCAATACATTCTGGTACTTTCTGTTATACATGATCAAATCAAATAGAACACACTGATGGCTATCTAAGATGGCACTTAAAAACCKTTTTGAAAAAACATTGAAAAACCTTTCCCTAAACTGGCTCAGAAGTGTTACATCAACCATGAATGGAACAAAGAACAATACACCTAAGGATTAAATTTCAAACAAAGTAATATTATCAGTGAAAAACATGTAACTTCATTAAAATTTGCAGTTCATGATATGTCAGTAGTCACTGTAAATAGTGGCATCTGAACTATTCTAAGCTGAAGCTACACTTTAAAAAAAAGAAAACTTATAGAAAGCTATCCTGCACAATATTTCTATCCTTGTCTTTTTTAGCCCAACATGCACRTAAGTATCCATTAAAAAGAGTCAACAAAAGATACTTTTTGGTTTTCACTCAAGCAAAGGTAGACTCAAAATAGTCCTCAAGACACCTGATCAGGGGTCTTTTGTGAGTTTTCCAGTGCAGTCTGACTGGAAACTAGAAACATTTTATACTGGAGTTCAGCACTACATTTTTAAGTGAAAGAAGTGCATGCTGGATTATTAAATAGGCAAAACTGTGCAGAAGCAAGGAAAGAAACCAGAAAAATTTCAAGACACGCTTCCAGCATTACGTAACTTACAAGAGGGCTTTGTCCAGTATTTTTTCTAATTTCTTTTCTATCTCCACTGAAAGTTGATATTGAATATTTTGGAACTAGATAGTAACTGAACTGAACTTCATTCCAAAAACATACTGCAAATTAGATTCACTTGAGTGATGTGTTATGTGCAATGAAGGCACTGCATTGTATTTAACACAGGCTAATTCAACACACCTCTCAGTCTCACAATAAATAAATAAATAAATAAATAAATAAATAAATAAATAAATAAATGAATAAATAAATACTTTGATGCATCTGATTTGCAGAGTTACAAATTCTTTACACCACATTAGCTAATGATAACAAACACACAGATGACCTTCAAAAACACAAACCAGAATTACATGCAAGTTGTATATTTCATTACCAAATCAGCAATAATCCCCTAGCCTGCTATTTCAAATCCCACCTAAACCACATAATGAAACAGCTTTTCCAGAACTGTCAGAAGCATCAGACATTTMATACACCCGAATTTTGGATCAGGATCAAACCCCAGCTCTAATCAGCCATCGGTCAAGGCAAGTTTACTTTAGTAATCAATAAAGAAAAATAAATACATTCAATCCTGGTGGGTCAAAGTAGGTGTCCAAATTAGATGTTAATCAACTTCATTGAGTATTGAGGCAGGATGTCAAATTTAACTTGGGAAAGATGAATCCCTCCCTTTTGACTTGAAAATTAATAAGTATTTTGATGGTAGATAACTACTTTGAAATATTTTGCCAGAAAACTCCCTTTTCCAAGTAAGTTTTACACTGTGATTTGCACATGACTTATTTTATATAACACTCAAAAACCCCAAAMCAAGCTTAATTTTCAGTGCCATTTTCAACTCAGGTGAACAGAATATACCTTGTCTGCAAAGCATTATAATGTAATTTAAAATATTTTTATTAAAATGATTAATGCATGAAAGAGGTTTAACCAGTAAACTGAAGCAAATTATTTTGTTCTGACACCTTTAATCAGCATTTCAAAGGAACAATAACAACAATAAAATGCTTTTYTCTGGTCTAATAGCTTTAAGTTCTTAAAATGATTTACAACTATTCATTAATACAATACAGAAAGAGCTCTGGAAGGCAACACATTTTGTACAAGTAGAGAAGTGCTCTAAGCATTCTGCTTGACCATTTGTGCTGTTCAGATCAAAAACACYGATGTTCCATGGATTCTCTATTCATATTTTACCTTGTTTTGCTTTCTCCTCTTTTTGCACTGCATGATATTCTGTGATTGAATTTGCAGTGTTTTTGCAAATGGCAAAAGCAACTTCATCTTCAAATTTACAAAATAAAATTTGGTTCAGATTAAAAGACTCTTAGTTCRCTACCAAGACTACACAAAGTGTTCTGTGAGCTTGTAATTCCATTTTCACATTTGTTATATGCATTATACCAACTAAAGGTTAAGACCCTTAAAAGCAAGATTCAGTGTGGTGCTCTGGCTGTTTCCTGGAACAGAACAAAAGTAGTTATCATTTCACTGAAAAACATAAAGCTGCTGCCATGCTGTCAGCATTTTCCATGCCTCTAACTCAGAAAATTCCTTGTCCACACATATGTTCATTGACTGGAAAGGACAGCTAAGAGTTTTGCCAAAAAAAAAAAAAAAATCTTCCTCAGAGCTATGCACTGAAACAGAAACAATGTTTTTGATGCTTTCATAAAAGAGCTATTAAAACATCTCCTTAAAATCCATATGATCTGGGGAACATAAAAGTCACYATAAGTAAGATCAGAAGTGACCATGTGAGCACAGAGCAACAGTAAATAGCRAGAAAAAGAAAACAGATAAAAATAATATAAAGCAGGCAGCTAATGTGATCTAATAATCAAATAAAGTGTCTCTATGAAAGAAGTCAAGTAAATGTTTAACAAAAGGATGAAGAAACTTCAMAAATATTCACAAAACTGAATTAACAGCATGTGAAACTTAAACATACTATTTCTCAACCTTTTTCCCAGTGTGTGGTTATTTATCTGGTGAGTCTGGATATTCATCTTACAACAGTAAAGGTATGAAGAATTAGTTTGTCTAGGTACAGAAAGAAAACCTGTCTTTTCAGAGGATAGAACAGAGACTAAAGTATTATATATATGGAAGAACAAAACAGTAGGTGGGAAAAAAAAGGAATAGACATGGAGAGGAATCTACAATAGCATAGTGACATAGGAAAATGTAGGGGGAAATAAAGAAGGAAAAGGTTTAAACATAAATATTAAAATGTAGTATTGTAAAGATCAATATTTTGGCAGAAACTTTATAGATACCCTGTTAACATTTGATGCCATAGTATATTCAAGGCCATATTCTCACATAGTTTATAATCTCTTAGTAATCCTACTTATTTTGAAATAAGAAAATATGAGAATTTTTTTTCCATTTTATTTAATTATTGCAAACATTTCCTAGCTTTTATATCGTCTTTTTGGTAATTMTTTGCTCTTTCTTACTGACATTTCTTCAGATTAATTTACATGAGCAACTTTATACTCATTTTGAGTGTAAAGGACACAGGACATAGGTCAGTCACATTTCCAATTKGAATTAATAGTGTTAACAAGGTTTGCCAGCAGACTTGCTCATCTGCTAACACCTTCCATCATGTGGCATTTGAAGCTTGTCTCGTTATTTCAGTTCCTCATGCAACTGGAGAAAGTTGGCAGTAAGGGAGGGCTGCAGCATCCC